TCACGCAGAGAAACTCCGAGCATAGCCCTCTCCATAGCTCGCTGAGCGACCTTGAGCGTCCTCATTCGGCCAGCAGTGAAGGACCACGTCTCAGTCCGTAAGTCATCACTGGCAACACGCACTGGTTGTACAATCTAGTTTTTAGAGATTGAGGTATACCTGACGAGAAGATGTGTCGTAATTTCCCGAACGCTGCCCAGCCGAGTTGAATCCGTCGATTGACCTCTCGGTCGAAGTTGTACTTACCTAGTCGGACTATTTGTCCCAGGTAAACTTACTCGTCAACAACTTCGAGTAAAGTGCTCCCAACAACTACCGGTATAGGTGTGACATGGACATTAAACATAATCTTTGTTTTGTCCATGTTCATCTTAAGACCTATCCTATTCGGTCTTCTGTACAATCTGCCGCAGGGTATGTATGTGTTCTATGGTACTGAAGCCTTTTCGGAAACCAGCTTGTTCGGGAGGCTGGAAGTCGTCGAGTCTGCGTGCGAGACGATTCGTAATGACTCTCGAAAACAGCACGTAGACGCGGCTCAGAAGGGAAATCGGTCTGTAGTTCTTCAAGAGAGCGTTGTCGCCTTTTTTAAAAAACAAGACCACCGCACTTCTGCTCCACGCCACTGGAGTAGTGCCACCATGGAGGACGGAACTGAAGAGCTTCTGAAGGACTTCAAGTACCGGTGTTCCACCCGCTTTAAGGTGCTGGAGAGCCATTCTAATCTCGCTCAGACTGACGTCCGGGATATCATCGGAATAGTGTCGGGTAAGACTTGCTCTTGGATCGTTACTCACACTTGCGTGTGGCTCCAACGATGATGTGAACAGCTGCCCATAGAACCTCTCAATCTCACTCAAAATCTCAGGTGTCCCGGAAACGATGCTGTCACACTCAGTCTTCAGCTTTGACAGTTGGCTCTTTCTGGCAGACAGATCTCTGGCAAAGACTTTGGAGCCCTGGTTCCGCTCGATCGTTTCTTAATACGAGCAGAATTAAAGTTGCGTAAGTCTCGCCGCATGCATTTGGAGATCTGTCTGTTCAGTTGCCTGTATGCTGTCAAATCTGTTGACGATTGCAGCCTCATCTCCCGTCTAACAGCCATGAGATTAAGAGTGTGTTTCATATCGTCCACTGCATTGCAATCTTCTAGGCACTGGAAGCGGTTACGTAACTCGAGCTGAAAAGTCTCGGGATTCTGGATTAGAGCACGAGAGGGACGGAGCGTTGACTTCATTAGACGAGACCTCTCCAACTTAACGTTTAGGTTCAGTGTGCCTCTAACCATTCGGTGATCGCTGCCGGTTTTCACCCTTGCGATCACTGAGACATCACTGAACAGTTGGCGTCTGGTCGTCATAATGAAGTCAATCTCATTTTTTGTCGAACCCTCGGGGCTCGACCAGGTCCACTTCCTGTGGGGCCGCTTCTGGAAGAAAGAGTTCATCATAAAGAGTCCCTCTTTCTGCATAAAGTCAGCCAGTTGCTGGCCCCTACGGTTCCGTTGCCCTACTCCAAATTTCCCTAACTTCAGCTCACCGCCTTCTCTTGTGCCTAGTTTTGCGTTGAAGTCTCCCATCAACACCGGTAGTGGGTTTTGGAGGAATGCATGGCTCTAGAAATATCCTCATACATTTCCTCCACCTCCTCATAATATACTAGTAGATAATCCTAAATCTTTACGCAAAATACAGATTATAGCAATAAAATGAAGCTATAATCTGTATCTATGCGCTTGTATTCATTGAAAGAAATCTTGGGGTGACAAATGAGCACACAGTCCACCTGATTATGGTAAGTGAATGCTGAGACGTTTACATAAAGAATAATTCTAATGCTTTGTTATCTCTGAGTACTAATATGGAACCCCTTGTCACCCTCAAAAACGGTTTCTGGTTATCTGCACCTTCCATACGGAACACAGCAGCATTCACTTGCAGCGAGGTCCTACTCCGGTTGAGCTGGACAATAATATCGTTGCAGCATGAATGGGAGGGCAATATGGAATGACAGAATATCGTGGCTCTATCAACTGACCACGTGGACAAATATCCAAATCCGATACATTTGCAGGTCATACAAACACTTGTCTCGAGCGCGATTTTTAACCTAACGCATAGCATATTAATATTCAAATATATTTTTTTTAATTTGCATTTATATAAGATACATATTGTTCAATCCACGAACATAAAAGGCATACTTTTAAAAGGCAATGTTATAGTTATGTTATAACTTACAAGCTATTGTAGTTACTGACAACATTAAGTACTTTGTAAGAAGTAAGATTTTCATTCACCTGTTTGTAGTATCACAATGTACGCTTACATTTTTATTTATATGAAACATTTTCTTTTTTCAACGCATCTAGCTTTTCAGTTTGAACACGTTTTATAACGAGTTATTTAACCATAATATAAAAAGAGAGTTGTTTGCAACTGACGTATGTAATTGATAAGTCAATTTAAGATTATCTCAAATAAACTGTTTTTCAACTGACTGCGTTGAGTCACCTGTATCACATATCTGAAGAGTTTCTATTTCTATTCACAGAAAATAAATCAAAGCTACTTAACAATCTACACGACAACCACAAAAAAACTTTCATTTGGACCCCGAACTTATCCAAAATAAAAATAAAAACTTAGACTAACTTAACTAAAGTAATTACACTTAAACTAAATTACTTACTTACTTAACTTAAACTAAAGTAATCACACATTCACACACATCACATTGATTGTCACATGTGCAAATCCTATAGAAATCAAAACATTCTGCAGACAAGACAGGTATCGGACGTGTTATTGTCAGCTCCGTCGTTTTATTTTGATATTCGTGGTTAAAGTTCTAAAACATCATCGAGTCGTATATAATTCGTAGCATAATTCCTCGGCCTTGTGTTGAGACATGGACACAACTTATATATAAATTGTGTCCATGTCTTAAGAACTGTTAGTGCTATAAATGATTTTATTTCAAGATTAGCCCTGTGATATTGATTAAAAGTGGGTTTTGCATACATTTGGTGGACAATATATTATGATTAAATACCCACTACAATAAAAATCTCGCATCTATATTATGATACGAGTACAGATCAACATTTTCGTGGAGTCATATCAAAGCGCTTTGACGCAGAGGTCTGTTCTAACATCCTGAAACCGTGGTTCGGTTCTCACATTGTCATTCGTCTTTTTGTTCTTGATTTTTTTTTCAAACAAATTATTTTAATTTATTGTTGGTTTTTGTTAGTTCAAATAAAAGTCGAGGTTTGATCGCCAGCTAATGTTAACATAAAAAAAACATTTACGCAATTATCCACGTTACAAATTACACTTTATTATTGCATTTACGTATACCACAATGGAAAACAAACATTTTTATATTACCTGCAAAGATTTGCCACCACCTCCTGGTGAAAGAGAAAAGTATTTATGTATGCACTGTAGGCAAGAATACCATTTAAAATGTTTGAATATGGATAAGACTGCTTTCTTTAAATTAGACTGCCAAACAAAATCTAAATGGAAATGCCCAACTTGCTTTAATGTAACAAATCGACGCAAGGGAGATATTTCGAACACTCCAGTTAGAAAATCAGTGCAATTTAATGATTCAATAATGTCCTGCGACGACACTCTTTCTGTTGACCACTCGGAAACTTCACTAGGTCCTCAGCCATCAACTTCTATGTGCCCTTCTCTAGGACAAGAAGTTACATTAGAGAGTATAGCCAGACTTCTAGATATGAAACTTGATGCTAAATTAGATGAAAAATTTGAATCACTCAAGAAATCATTCTATATTAATATGAAATCATTAATCAAAACGGAGATTGTTACAGCCATTGGCCAAGTCAAAATTGAATTTGACGAGACTACAGACTTTCTACATCAGGGCCAAAAAGAACTCAAGTCAAATATTGAATCTGCCGAAATAAAAGTTCACGCACTAGAAAAAAATTAATGCCGATCTAACAAACAAAATGAGTGTACTGCATCGTCGTTTGGAATCCATGGAAAAAATTTCCCGCAGTTACAACGTGGAGATTCAAGCAGTCCCCGAAAAACAGAATGAGAATATTTTGACGCTTGTCAAAAATATTTACTCTACAGTAAAACTACCAACGACAGACGCTGAAATTAGTATGTGTCGAAGGGTTGCTAAATTGTCGACCACATCAGCTCAACGCCCGCGTAATATTTTGCTTTCGCTGCCTTCCATTCGGCATCGTGATAATCTTCTGTCAGCGGTCAAACGTTATAATAAGGCTAAGCCTGGCAACACATTAAACTCTGTACATTTAGGAATTCAAGGGGACAGGTGCCCAATTTACGTTTCCGAATATCTCTCTCCAGAAACCAAGGAGCTTTTTGCTTTGACACGGGCTACTGCTCGTGGAAAATATAAATACGCGTGGATCAAATTCGGGAATATATATGTGAGAAAAGATGATAATTCTTCAGCAGTACAAATTAAAAACAAAGATTGCTTGGCTAAAATTAGTTAATTGATTTGTATTGTAGTAACTCACTTTTTGTTTTTGTTTATTTTGCGTTTAAGTTTTGTATTTTTTTTTGTCTTGAATGTTAATTTACTATCAAAATGTCAATCGTCTGCGTTCCAAAACACATCAGCTGTATACAAATATACTAAATAATGAATATGATATTATTTGCTTAACCGAAACTAACTTAGATGAAGGTATTTTTAATGAAGAATTATTTGATGAGCGTTATAATGTATTCAGACGGGACTGAGGGGAATGCGCTTATGGCGGACGATAATTCGAAGGAGGAGGTGTGATTTTGGCCATAAAAAATGTTTTACTGTTACTCGTAGGCAATTTTGGGACAGTAAATTTGAGAATATTTGGGTTTCACTGATTTCTACAAATTGCTTATCATTAAATATCTGTGTTAGTTATCTTCCACCTTATCTTCAGTCGGACGACATCAATAAACTTATGAAACACTATCAAAGTACCATACTTAGCAATGCCCATTCTTGACATTTCATTTGAGATCTCTAATTTAGAATTACGTTTAATTCCAAATGCTTCTGCTGGCACTAAGGGCCGTTTTCTTTTAGATACTATGGCATTATGTGATCTAAAACAATATAATAGTTCTAAAAATCAGAATGATCGTCTACTTGATCTCGTATTATCAACTATGGACGAACTAAGAGTAAAAGAAGTAGAACCATTATTGAAACTGGACGGTCATCATCCATCTATAGAAATTAATCTTAATTATACAAATAATAAACCAAATTTTGTTAAATTTAATCGTAAACTTTTGAAACCAAATTATCATAAAAGTAATTTTGAAAAAATTAAAGATCATTTAAGAAAAGTTAATTGGCATGAACTGTTAAATGAATTGGACCCTGATAGTGCTGTTGATGCTATGTATAAAGAACTTAATTCAGCTATTTTGCTGTTTGCACCGTTTAAAAATTTAATCCTAACCAATACACATACTGGTTTAACTTTCCTCTAATTCGTTGCCTTCGAGATAAGAAAAAGTATCATAAGTTGTATAAAAAATTTGGTAATCCGAGGGATTATGATACATACAATATGCTGAGAACTCGTAGTAAACACTTAATTGAAGCCTGCTACAAATCGATTCAAAATGAAGTTGAGAATAGTTTAGGTAAAAACGTTAAACATTTCTTTAAGTTCGTGAATAACAATTAATGTCCGTGAATTTCTGCAATATCAGGGGACTTCACTCTAACCTAAACGCCGTCCACTACCATCTCGAGATAGCGAGGCCGGCACTGCCCTTTCTGACCGAGACGCAGGTGCCCTCTCCGGCTGATGTCTCGTATCTCTCCTACCCGGGGTACAAACTGGAAAACTCCTTTGTGCCTCGGGCTGGAGTTTGCGTTTACGTCAGAGAGGACATCTGTTCTCGACGCCTCGGCAGACTTGAAAGTTTGGACCTGTCCATCCTGTGGCTACGCGTAGACAGCGACGAGCATCCGCGCGTCTACGGGTGCCTCTATAGGTCCCATAGCGGTAATGCCGAAACACACCGACTCTTCGACCACGTCCAAATGGCTACAGATTCGTTGCTACAGCAGATCCCCTCCGCAGAGATGGTGATCCTCGGCGACTTTAACGCCCATCACGCCGAATGGCTTGGTTCACGTTTAACCGATCATGCGGGGAGATCTGTTCATGATTTTGCCTTTGCATATGGTCTGACACAACTGCGATTCCAGATGTGGAGGATCATGCACCTTCCCTGTTGGACCTTCTGCTGACCTCTCACCCGGACGGATATCAGATTTCCGTCGAAGCCCCTTAAGGCTCCTCGAACCATTGTCTTGTCCGGAGTGAGGTGCCACTCACGCTGAAATCGCAGTCGCATTCTGCAGGCTGCCGCCATGTTTGGCACTATAGGTCAGCAGATTAGGATGGGATGTGGTCTTTCTTTGCATCCTACCCTTGGGGGCGGGTTTGCTTATCGCCGGACGATCCCAACGTTGTTGCGGATTCTGTCGCTGATGTGGTACTTCAGGGTATGGAACTTTTTATTCCTTCCTCTGTGGTGCCCATTGGAGGCAAATCTCAGTCATGGTTTGGTCGCTCCTGTACTCCCATAGCATCATGCTATAAGCAGGAGTGCTACCGAGCCTGGGCTGACGCATCAGCGTCCCGGGATGTAAACACCAGCGCTACAAAAAATAAGTATAATTTCCGCCTCTAGGTCCTTCAAAAGAGTCATTGCTAAGGCAAAGTCAGAGCACATAGGCAGAATTGGCGAGAAACTAGTTCGCCTTCCTTCTGGAACTCGTGCATTCTGGTCTCTCGCCAAGGCTGTCCAGGGGAATTTCTGTCAGCCGTCTCTTCCATCTCTGCACAGGGAGGACGACTCACTGGCCCATACCGCAAAGGAGAAAGCCGATCTTCTTGGCTCTTTCTTTGCATCCAACTCGACTTTCGATGACGGGGGAATACGCCGCCGACAATCCCACGGTGTGAGTGCTCCATGCCGGAAGTGCAGTTCACACAGCGCTCGGTTCGCAAAGCACTCCTCTCCCTGGACATCCACAAGTCGAGTGGGCCTGACGGAATCCCCCCAATTGTGCTGAGGACGTGTGCTCCAGAGTTGGCACCGATTTTAACGCGTCTTTTCCGGTGCTCCTACTCCCTAGGCGTAGTCCCAAAATCATGGAAGACGGCTTTCATCGACCCGATCCCTAAAAAAGGTGACCGCTCAGACCCATCCAACTACCGGCCTATCGCCATCACCTCCTTGTTCTCCAAAACAATGGAGTCCATTGTAAACTGCCAGCTCATGAGGTACCTTGAGGATCACCAGCTGATTAGTGACCGCCAATACGGTTTTCGCCGTGGTCGGTCAGCTGGTGATCTTCTGGTCTACCTAACTCACAGATGGGAGGATGCAGTAGAGTCCAAGGGGGGAGACATTGGCCGTTAGTTTGGACATTGCGAAGGCCTTCGATCGGGTTTGGCACAAAGCGCTTCTTTCGAAGCTCCCTTCCTATGGGCTTCCCGAGAAATTATGCGATTGGATCACCAGCTTTCTTGCAGATCGGAGCATCAAGGTCGTTGTAGACGGTGCAAGCTCCGATTACAAGCCTATTAATGCTGGTGTTCCACAAGACTGCGTGCTATCGCCAACGCTGTTTCTTCTGCATATCAATGATATGTTGCAAACCCGTAACATTCATTGCTATGCAGATGACAGCACTGGTGATGCTCTTTACACCGGCCGAGCCAATATTTCTCGGGAAAACGTCTCCGAGTGCCGGGACAAACTTGTGTCTGAAGTCGAGTCCTTGCTCAACAGAGTCTCGACTAAATCTAGTCCAATTTAACCCCCAGAAGACACAAGTTTGCGCGTTAACCGCTAAAAATAACCCCTTTGTCGTATCTCCTCAGTTTCAAGGCACTCCCGTTGTTGCCTCAGCCAGTATCGGAATCCTCGGCGTTGACATATCGAGTGACGTGCAGTTTCGTGGTCACTTGGAAGAAAAGGCCAAATTGGCCTCTAAAAAGCTTTGCGTGCTCAGCAGAGCGGGACTGTATTTCATGCCGGCACACCTCCTGCAACTTTACAAGGCGCAGGTTCGGCCACACATGGAATACTGTTCCCATCTCTGGGCTGGGGCTCCCCAATACCAGCTCCTTCCACTTGACCGCATCCAGCACAGAGCGGCTCGAATCGTCGACGACTGAGTGCTTTCCGATCGGCTCGATTCACGGGCACTGCGAAGATATGTTGCATCTCTTTGCATTTTATTTCGCATATACCATGGAGAGTGCTCTGAGGAATTGTTCGGATTAATCCCAGCCGCCAAATTTCGTGAACGCACTACGCGGAAAACGTCCCGATACCATCCACACCATCTGGATGCTTGGCGGTCCACCACAGTACGTTTCAAAAGGAGTTTTCTTCCGCGTACAACCTCTCTGTGGAATAGTTTACCACCGGCGATTTTTCCGGACCTATATGACCTGGGGACCTTCAAGAAAAGAGCTTACTCCTTTCTAAAGGGCCGGCAACGCACCTGCAATTCCCTTGGTGTTGCGGTTGATCATGGGCGGCGGTAGTCACGTAACATCAGGTGAGCCGCATGCTCGTTTGCCCCCTCTTCTATAAAAAAAATAACAAAAAATCAAGTAAAGGTATTCCTGAATCTATGACTCATGATGCTAAAACTGCTACAGATCCCCAAGGAATCTGTGAACTTTTTTCAGCGTATTTTGTTTCTGTTTATGGAAAACCTGACAACTGTGAACCCAAATTTAATATACCGGACGGGTCTAATCTTGCACTATCTAATATAGTCATTAGTAGAGATGACATTATTAGAAAGATTAAAACACTAGAGGCTCACAACGGTCCGGGTCCCGATAGAATTTCGTCATTATTTGTTAAGGCGTGTTGTGAAGAACTTAGTTTGCCGTTATTTATAATTTTCTATAAGTCTATTAAGAGCGGCATATTCCCTTCTGTTTGGAAAAATGCCTATGTAATTCCAATTCATAAGTCTGGTGATAAAACAAAATGTGAAAACTATAGGCCAATTAGTATCTTATCCTGTATGGCTAAAATTTTTGAATCGTTGGCTTATGACCATATTTACAACCACGTGAAACAAAGCATATCAAACTTACAACATGGTTTTGTTACTGGTAGATCAACCGTTAGTAATTTACTTGTCTACAAAAATTACATCTGTCAAGCGTTTGCTACCCAACGCCAAGTAGACTCGATTTATACTGACTTTTCTAAGGCGTTTGACAAAGTCAACTATAGAATACTCGTGGCTAAATTAGCAGCATACGGGATACATGGCAATTTGTTGCGTTGGATAATTTCGTATCTTTCTAGACGTAGTCAGATCGTTGCAATAAAAGGTCCTCTCCAAACCAGTACATGTAACATCCGGGGTTCCTCAAGGGTCCCATCTTGGCCCTCTTTTGTTTATTATATTTATTAATGACTTGGTAGACCATATCACAAGTGAATGCTTACTATATGCAGACGATATAAAAGTTTTCCGTATAATCGATGATGTTAATGATTGCCTCTTGTTGCAACGGGACCTTAACAATATTTATACCTGGTGTTCTCATAATAAAATGCATTTGAATGCAACTAAATGTGTTTTTATAACTTTCACAACTAAGAAAACTTGTCTAAAGTATACATATCATATCGATGATCAACCTTTGTCTGAAAGTAATGTTGCTAAAGATTTGGGCGTTATCTTTGACTCAAAACTAGATTTTAGGCAACATTTTAATCACTTAACGCAACGTGATTACAGTTAGTAGGTTTTGTTATACGACTTATGAAGGAATTCAAGAGATCCCTTACTCTAATATATTTTTTTAACACTCTTGTGAGACCGATCTTTGAATACGCCTCAGTAGTCTGGTCACCCTATTACGAAGTATAAATAGCTTATATTGAACGAGTCTAGAGATGTTTTTCTGCGGAGCTTATGTCGTAAACATGGATTGATACGCCAGTTGCCATCGTATAATGAAAGAGTGAATTACTTTGGAGTTACGAAATTAGATAAACGTAGATAATATTTTGAGGTTATTTACCTTCACAAAATCATTCAATCCTCCATCGATTGCCCAGAATTGCTTGACCTAATTAATTTTAAATGTCGATCCCGTCTGCGTAACCCGTGTATCTTTCGTCTTGATGTTTACAGAAACAACACGTCTTTCTTTAATCCGGTCATTCGAATGTGTCGAAATTTTGACGAGCTGAGACATCGTAACGCTGATCTGGACATTTTTAATTCTAATATTTAACAATTTAGAAGATCTGTAATTGCTATGTTAAATATGTAAAATCACGAATATCATAAAATAAATTCTTTTTTTAACTGTCGCTAGTACTATGTATTATTAATTTATTTTTCGGTCATACTTGTCATATTTTGTTTTGCTGTGCACACTATATTGGATTATAGACAAGTTATAATAGTTTTGTTACTG